ATTACTTTCGCTTAAAGAAAAGAAATTGAACCTCAAGATGTGAAATGCGAGATAATGCATTGTAGCTATCGAAGTCTTTGTTATGTACACGATTACGAAGACCACACCCACTTGGAGTAACCACGTACGTCAAGGCTTGTATGTGAGACAATTTGATTACAGGTATTTTGATATCACTGGGAGCAATTTTTATGTTTTGTATTTTACTTCACGCATTATAATGATAATAAGGTAACCGGTGCTGTTGCAATTATCATACAACAGGCGTTGTGAATAGATTAAAAATGACCATGATAATAAGAAAACCGGTGTTGTTGCAGTTGCCAATATATGAATGATAAGAGGCCTTACTGTAATCACACCTCAAGAAAATATGATTTGCCTTTAAAGTGATTTAGCTTGATGGCTGTTGCGAGGGATATGAATTCCATTTTGTGACGTCATCTTCCACTCGGGCCAAACGAGGTTAGCCATTTTTTGGCGAATTAAATAAACGAAATCCAGGTCGAGAATGACCATAAGGTCAAGTGCCTTTCTTGTGCTTTTCTCTCATCGTCAACTCACATGCCGATTTCTTTGATTTCGAGAAGTCCAAAGTAGACAATTAATACAATAAACTATGAAAAATATTCATCGCTCGAAACGTTTTCACTTAAAATGTGACTCATTTATAATTAAGCATGTAGTGTTGTAAAGATACATAATGTGTATACATCGATTAAATCACATATGTGCATAAAATAAATCTAAATAAAATTTAAGATGCAAGTCTTCAATATTTTAACCTCATTCAGCACGGAAATTTCAAACAGTTGCCAGATACCACCTTTTATCTTCGGTATCAGACAAAAGAAAATATCGCAGTGGAATCGCTTGACTAGATATACATGACATTTCCTCAACGACTATATGTATAGCACAAGTAGTCTGAAGTCCACAGCCCATGGTACACGCAGAGGTTTAGCGTATTACAGAACTTTCATTACAAGTGAAGAATACATCCGGCAACCAAGACAAATAAACTGTAAACAAGCACGCCATCGGATGCAATATTTCACCTTTAAAGATAAAAGTCATAAAGGTGAAAACAGAATAAAACCCAAGTAACTACCAAACAGCTTGTTCAAAGAGGCTAGAGGAGTGTCTACGCTAATATCGTCCAATTCTTCTTTCAGTATAGAATTTGCGAAGGGAGGGAGAGGACGCGGGAATGTGTACTACCTAAGGGTTGAAGTTGTAACGTGGATGTGAGGGGTAAATGTGCAACGTGGTGAGTAGTGAATGTTATTGTCGAGCCTGTTTGTAATTCCTGCAGATTCTGTAATTATGTGAGGAAGGACCTATGAAAATTCGACATTTGTAAGTCATATTGTTTTGTTTTGTTTATCATGTGTGTTTGATTTATATATACTTATAAGAAGGGCTGTCAGCGTATGCAATAATCTAAGAATCCATATAGTTACAATTACTCCATATTAAAAAAAAATAATAAGAACTTGCATCAGTACAGTGCCAGTGGTGGTGGTGTTTCGTGTTTCCTGGGTTCGTTTGTTTACCTGTGTGTTCCGACAGGTATGTAAATACAGTATTGGATAATTAGATGCGTCCAGTTGTTTTTTTGAGTTGGTGCTTGTGAGTGACATGACAAATTCAGGGAACTTTTTGACGGTACCTTCCGTTACAAGGTAAATATTTATGGAAACGACAGAGCAAATGAATGTTCTTAATATTTACTGAGAGTCCGAAGAGAAAAATGGATGTTTAAGTGTTCATTATAGAATGCAATAGTTCCATATATAATCGAAGTTGGAAAGATAATAATATCCAATTTAGCGTTTACTGTGTTGTTACAGTTTCTGACTTTATATTGTAAAAGTTACATTTACAGTTTTAAGATGTGGCATTAAACAAATTTACACTTAAAATTATATTGATTATGAGCGCGTGTAATTGCGAAAAGCGGGTAATTTCTCAATATCTATGTAACAGGAGTGATTTTCAGTAAGAAATAAAAACCTATTTCGTTCATCCAAGAAGGTATAAAATATTTCGAGGTTGTGGCGGAATTGGGAAATAAATCGTTAACATTTTCATATCTCTTCTCTTTGTTCACTGAACTCTTCCACACAGTCCCATGTCGTTCCCGCCCCCCTAAAAAAGAGAGAGAAAAAAGTTTTGACAACCTCCGCCTCGGAATCGCCACCGCCACGCACGAAATTCGAATTTCGGATAAAAGCGCGGGAAGCCTTGATGACGTCAGCAGAGTCACTCCATCTTCCGCTCTCTTTAACTCCACTCTGAAGCAGCATCCACATTGTCGTCTCCTTGTCTGTTTCTCATGTGCTCACTCTTTATCTTGGGTCTAATCTCTCGCTTATTAATTAGTCAGTATGTAATTTTCTCCTCTCTCTCTCTCTCTCTCGTCTCTCGTCAGATCTTTTATTCTCTCTTCTTCTACTCTCGGTAATCTCTTATTTCTTCTCTCATCTATTCTTCTCTCTGAGTCTCACTACTCGCCCTGGCTAAGTGATTCTGAGCTCTTCTGGTCTTCGCGCGGGGTGGGCGGTCGGTCTTACGCGTCTCGGCACTGGGTCGCGGAGCGTCCTCGCCTACTTCGCCTAGAGACGTCTCCCTCTCTACTCAGTTAAGTTCTCTCTTGCTCGTTCAGATCCTGGTGCGGGGGGAGGGTCCGAGGTTGCGTTAACGGGGTATCACCGCGGGGTCCGAGGGTGGTCCTCTCGGGGGGGTCTTGGGCTCTCATCGTCGCGGGGGCGGTCTGCTCGGGGGGGTGCGGCTCGGGGCGCCTGGGCTGGCATCGCATGTCGGGGGGTGTGGGGCGACGCCCGCGGCGGTGCTGCCCGTCTGGGTGCGGACGAGGAGGGGGTCGGGAGGGGGTGCACTCGTGGGGGCGTCTCGAGTCTCTCTCTTGCTCTCTCCTCTCTCCGTCTCTCTCTCCTACCCTTCTTCCCCATGGCCTTTCTCTCTCTTCTCTTCTCTCTCCTTCTCTCTCTCCTTCCTCCGCCTCTCTTTCTCCCTCTCTTCTCTCTCTCTCTCTCTTCTCTCTCTCTCTATCATCTCTCTCCTCCTTCCTCTATCTCTCTCTGGCTCCTCTCTCTCTCTCTCTCTCCTCTCTTTCTCTCTCTTCTTTTCTGCGGAGACGCGCGTGCTCGGATCAGGATGCCATGCTCGGGGGAGGGATCGGCTAATCGTCAAGTCGGCAGTCGCTGCTGGGGTAGTGGTCGTCTAATCTGAGCGGGTCTCCTCTAGAATCGTCGTCTCGCGAGATCCGTCGGTATCGCGATCTCTGGCAGTAGCGGATGACGAGAGGGTCGAGGGGAGCAGAGGGTCTCGGGCGCGATCTCTGCGAGGTCGAGACACGTGGAGAGGGGTCCCGCGGGTGGGCGGGGGGGGGGTTCATATTGCTGGGCGCAATTCCCCTGGCTTGCTTTCCGTTGGCCAATGCACGGGTAGCCCTGTTGATTTTTCCGGCTTCTCTATTCGGTTTACTGTGTTGCTTGTCTTCCGGAGTCTTCTAGTTCGTTTGTCTATTCTCTCGGGGGTTACAGTGTTTGTTCCGCCTCTCGGCTCATGAGCCTTACAGGGTTACATCCGTGACATGGTGATAAATGTGGTCGGAATGCTGGTGATGTCGCTGTTGTTTCTTTCCGGAGTTGTGAATCTTGCTTTTTGCCTTTCGTTCGCTTTATTATTTGTGTTGTTGTTGGTTTTTGGTTTGTTTAGGTTGTTCGTTTAGCTTATGTCCTTTTTTGTGTGCGGTATGTATTGTATACTTCGTGTATTATTCTGGTTGCATGTATTGATCGTGTTCTTTGGTGTATCTCTCTTCGTATACTCTGTATCTTCACTTAAACTTTGTTTAGTAGTTTAATTCGTTGAATTTTTTAATGATTTATGGGCGATATTTTTTTTAATATAGGAATAATGATGAAGAAAAAAGTTTCAAATGCTGAAATTTGGTGTTATATTCCTGTATTCTGAACAAATTTTGAACTTTCTTCAGCGCCGCTTCTATTTCATTCGAAATTAATTATTTTAATCTGACGAGTATTTGTGATTAGGCTTGCAATTAAGAATATTCGTGCTATGGTTTACTTAATGAAAGTGCGTACAATGAGAAAAAGTGCCTGTAAATTCAAACCATACTATTCTTTTTACAATTCTTCTCTCCGGCTTTTCTCCGTAATAAACTCATTTACCTTTCGAATTCGATTCCTTGCTCAGTCGTCTCCTTGCTCTCTCTTCTTCTCTTCGCAAGGAAATAAAACTCTTTCTTTCTTTCTCTCCTCCTCTTTCTTCCATCTCCCTCTCCTCTTCTCTTTCTCTCGTCTTCTCTCGTTTCTCGTTAAAAGTCTACCTCTCTCAATAGAAAGGGCGGATTTGTGCAAAGAGAAGGGGGACGAGTGAGTAGGATGCAACCGAGACAAGTAACTTTATTAAGGAGCGGATATGAGGAGGGTTGTCCTCAGTCGCTTCTCCACCCTTCGTTTCTTCAGCTCCGGCGAAAATCTCGGATAGTAAGTCTCAATCTGATACTCTCTCTCTCTCCCCGCTCTCTCTCCTCTTTCTCCTCTCTTCTCTCTTCGTCTCTCTCGTCTCTCTTTCTCTGTTACCGCACTCTCCTCGAAGCTCCGGAATTTCAGTTCTCTCTCTCCTCTGTCTCCTCTCCATCCTCCCAGGACAGTTAAAGGAAGCTGAGATTTGGATATTCAGTGTGGTCATGGTCCATCTTTCTTTGAGATATGGAAAATTCGGAAAGGAGTGCCGGTTCGAGGGGGAAGGGGATGGAATGTGGGTTCGGTTGGCGTTGGAGGGGAAGGGTGACATCAGGGGGGTGCGTTAGTGCAGTGTTAATGTTACGCGTAGCGCGGGATCTGGATATAGGTGGTGTTGCTTCGCAGTCTGCTGGTCTGTTTGGCTGAGTGAGGGGGAATGCAGTGAGGTGCCGGGTCTCTCTGGTCTCTGGGCTCACGGGGAAGAGG